TGGGCCATACCTTGTGCAATGTCATCAAATGTGTTCAGATTCACCATCCGTTCTGCTATTTTAACAGCCTTTGCAACCTTGCTTAGAGCGTCAACGTGCTGAAAAGAAAGGAAGAGAAAATGTATGTCCTGTCTGTTTACATGTACCTCAGAACTCATGTGACTGAAAAGCTTGAGTCCTTTGATCCTGAAAACAGATTCATTTGAAATGTGCCACACCAGAACCTATGGGCACTTGAAAAACTGTAATTGCTTTGTTATAAATTTAGCAAGATGCTGTCCAAAGCTGCATKAACTTCAGTGTTTGTTCCTGATTTACCTCAATACAGGTACTTACTAGCCAAGGTAGTTAGGAGTCTTGTCTTTCAAGCTAACCTCTGACAGGATGAGCTAAAARGACATGCATGATTCCCACCTCATCTCACTGTACAAAAGTTCATTAGATTCAGTGATGAAATTGATGATGAGATTCATCATGCATGAGCACCTTCTCACTCCACCTGGAGAGCTCTAAGGTCTCATGCATTAAGTMAACATCACTGGATTTAGGAGTCCTTCAGTCAATCACTGGGTAATTCCAATTTAATGCATTCATGGATCCATGGACAAGTGGAGAAAATAAAGCCTGGCAGGGGCTGGTGGTCTGTCAGCAGGTGCCTGGTTGCGACACTTATCTGACAGAGCCCTGTGGCTGATCACCACATCTTACATTCTCAATTACTTTTGAATGAGGATGCTCTCTTTACTCTGTGAGCAAGTGTGACTATTAGTGAAATCCAAAGTGGATTAACTAGCAAGAAGGACAAGAAGCCTGGGTGCCAGTAGTGGGATGGACAAAGTTTGAAAGCCCACAGACTGTGCTGGCCCATATAAGGATGATATCATCACAGCTCTGTGCAATGATGTGAAAATGCCAAGRCATACATAAAGTGCTTTGAGAGCTTGCTGCCCCAAGTGCCCGAAACCCCATCCACTACTGCTGCCCCAAAGCCCCATCAGTGTTTCAAAGGCTTTCATCTTCAAATCCTTTCTAGGGATTGATGGCTGCCAGCACAGTAAGGTTTCCTTCCTACTGACAACACTGAAAAGAAACATGTCATCCGTGACATAGCTTAGAGAGTGCCTGGAACGTGAAAAGCAAAAGTGAAGTGAGTTGACCAAACTACACCCCACAGTTACAGTCAGAACTAGGAACTTCTGAATGGCTTCAGATTATTTGTGTCCAGCCCTCTGCTTCTTTCCTGGGCTCAGCACAGACTCAAGGGAGACTGAGTCTCACTTCAAAGAGCATGAAACTAATAGGGCTACAGAGATGAGAGGACAAAAAAAACCAAACACTCTATAAACTGTTACATTTTTTATAAATMCATGGTTTGCTTACACTTCAAGCAATATGTGCAGTCCTCTTCTGCCACTCTAGAAAGGATTAAGCAAATTTGAAACCGAGTTCAGAAAAAGGCAACAGATCAAGGGAGGGGATTCTACCCCGCAGATCTGCGCTGGTGAAACTCCACCTGGACACTGCATCCAGCTCTCARRTCTCTGCACAGGAAGGACATGGACCTGTTCGAGTGAGCCCAGGAGAGGCCATTAATATGATCTGGAGCTGGGGCCCCTCTCCTGTGGAGACAGRCTGAGACRGTCAGGGTTGTTCAGCCTGGAGAAAAGAAGGTTCTGGAGAGACCTTAGAGCCCCTTCCAGTRCCTAAAGGGCACCTACAGGAAATAGAGGGAGGGAATCTCTATCAGGAAGTTTAGTGATAGGATGAGGAACACCTGTTTTAAATTGAAAGAGGGTAGGCTTAGATTAAATATCGGAGAGAAATTCTTTATTCTGAGGATGCTGAAGCACTGGAACAGGTTGCCCAGAGAAGCTGTGGACTCCCCATCTGGCAGAGTTCAAGGCCAGGTTGGAAGGGGCTCAGAGCAAACTGGTCTGCTCATGTCAGGGGAGTTGGAACTAGATCATCTTCAAGGTCCCTTGCAAACCAAACCATGCTATAATTTTATGATACTATGATTCCATACATTTTATTCTGGGGGGGAGTCAGTGGAAGATAGGCTACAAATTTAAAAGAAACAAAGYAAAAAGCAAAACAACCTTGTAAAAGCAGAAACAATATATTAGTAAATTGATTTTTTTTCCTACAATGCAGGAAAGTCTCCTATGATGAATCAAAAAAGCTTTAAGTCAGCTTTTCTGTCAAGTAGCTATGCTGTTAACAACACATCTATAACTAACTAGAATTTGACATTATAAGTGGATAAGAGTAAGTTATTTTGTCTTTGTACTCTGTCCAGTTTCAGATTTAATTTATTCTGTATGCCACTGAAATAAATTATCAGAGGAAGTGCTAGGCCTAATTTCTCCTTTTTTAAAGAAAAATCTGTTGAGAATACACTGTTCCACAGTAGGCCAATTCTGAGCCAGTTAGCCAAATGCAGTGAGAGTGTGTAGGACAACACTATTGTTTTGTTTATTTCTGTGCATAAGTTATTTTTAGAACAGCAATAATGTTAATTGATTCATATGTAAAATGGATAATGGGCTAATATTTTGAAAATAAATGTCTTGSTCTTGCTCTCTAATTCCCAAACACTTATTGCCTCATGTTTCCCTCTCAGGAGCTGGACAGTCACAATCAAACTCCTGTGAACCGAAGCATGAAAAAAACCTTCTACTGGTRTGTAACTGCATACCCAGAAGACAAACCCCACACAAAAATCAGTGCAGGAGCTGCTCACACCTCTGGCAACACATATATGGTGACTAGAAGAGYCCCTGGTTTGCAAAGAAAGAAGCACAGTACAGGGCTGTTGTCATCTCTTGCCCATGCAACACATGAATGCAAATTCCAACTGTAAATCCCAAATAAAGCCCCCCAGCTTGAATCATGTCAAGAAGTYATTAAATTCCATAACTGTGCTCATCTGTTCATTTTCACTCCTTGCTTTTAATTCTGATAGACTGCAAACAGAAAATTGAAGGCAGGGGAGTTGGTGAAAACTCATCCACTACTAGGGATGACCAGGAACAGGTGAACAATAATGTGAAAGTTAATTGCATTCTAAATTCATCTGTTACATAAAAAATAATAGCAGCCATCCAAGAGCTTCCAAGTAATATTTGTGACCTGTGGGCTGTCTCACCAGGCATATCACAGACAGTGGTGATGCTGCTGTGTAACTAGTAAGACAGGACCTCACATGATTCAGGAATGCACATTTCTTTATTAAATATAAATTTTGTTTAGACTTTTTAGGACAACCATCAATCACTTCTGTTTCAGAGTTCAGAGGCTGCTCCAGTGCAATAGATTCCAACTTAAATTTTATATTTTAATTAATTTAATTTAAATTTTAACTTTTCTATTCCTAACTGGTTGACATCTGTCTGTATTTCTGTTGACACTATCCTCTGCCTCAGTAATTCTAACTCAAATTCCCTACCTAACTTTGCATCAACAAATAAACATGCTAAGATTTTCTAGTGTTACGTATTCAAGCTTTAGATTTCTTATGATTTTTTCCATATATATGCAAGTTTGCAATAAATCATCTTTGAAACCTGGTGATCAAAATCATGTATCGCTGTTCTATTCCTGAAAAGGTATCACCCCATCTTACATAACATAAATATCTTCTCTGCTATTCATCATGGGGTATATTCCAGAAATATACTTGCCTCTCACAGCCRCAACTCATCAAACAACACAGAGTTGTTGGAGAAATACACTCATGTTTCTCCCTGTGATTACAAATTGTAAGCCTGCTCTGACCAAAGATTSCTTTGATACTCCAAAATAAAGTTTTCCACTCCACCAGGCCCTCCCAAGCTGTAATAAAAACAACTTTTCTGGTATATCTAATCATTGCCTAATGGCACTACAGCAATAATTACAGAATTCCAGCTAGATTACCTTTATTCTACTTTTCTTRCTCAAGAAAAACATGACTTGTCTTTCATTAAAGAAAGAGATGAGATTATTTAGACATAGCCAACTGTCGGTAAATATGTGTTATTTTATTCCATTTCATATTTAATCCCTGTTCTGTATTTTTTTTCTCCTTATTAATTCTGTTGCCTCATGTACTGCTAAAGGTCAGACTAATGGAACCATTTTTGCCTCTCTTGCATACAACAAGTCCTTGTTATGCTCCAATCACATTGCTCCACCCCACTTTGGATAGAATAATTAAAAATCCTTAGTATTAGACTTGTGGTCTCATGTCTTGCCATCTCAGGGTAAGAGGAGCAAGGCTGCTCATTAAGTTCTGTGTTTTGCTTCTGCCTCAAATAATTTCTAAGTTAATTCAAGAACACAACGACAGGTGTCGGTCAGACCAAGCATGTCTTAGGTCAGGATGGTTGAATTATAGAATAATWTGGKTTGGAAAAGACCTTTAAGATCATTGAGTATCCTTTTTGTAATCAGAGCCATAAACAGATGGCAAAGGAACAGAAAGAGCAGGACAGGCAGATACAACACTTCTGCCTAGTTTTCKCTCCTTCCAGATATTTTTGGCTCAGAAAATTTGATATCATTCCTCTTTGGTATTCTGTGTTATCCAGCGTCTGTATATTGCCTTGACTAAAAAAGAGGAAAAGTTCCAAATGTATCCCTGCACACCCTTTCCTCTCTACATCCATTTAAGTGTGAGGCACACAGGGAGATTTCTAGGAGTCCMCCATCATAGTCTCCAGTCAAACACTTATTGTTATTTCAACTTTTATTTGCTCATATATCTCCCTTATTGGATTCTCAACCTTTCTTCTGCTGAAATCCTTGTTATCTCCCTTTCTTTTGGCTGCTTCTATCTTCCGSTTTGCTAAACCACCTTGCTTCTCCTCATTCTTCAGTGCTATGCATAGCTTCATTTTACTCCTTTTCCCCTAGTGTGAAGCTTCTGCTTAACTGTCAAGGCTCCCCTCCCCTTTACTCCCTGYCCTCCTGCTCTCTTTTCTTCTCTAYKTTTGAACACTTTCTTTCATGGGTCACATCCTTCCTCTCCCAGTCATGTGTTCTTTTGACCTCTTTTTCAGTACCAGTATTGTTTTCTCTCTCTTTTCATCCATTACATTTACAAATCCTCATCTAACTCCTACCATCATCTCCAGCTGTGGCTCTAGTTCTTGGATCTTCTCTTTCATGGCCTTCTACCATAGCAACAGTTTCTGTCAGAGATCACCTGTAGTAACAGGTATTCATTTTCTCTTCTTCTTTCCTTTGGGTTAAATCTAACTTTGGGTGCTAACTCAGTAGCTATCACACTTTTTTCTTGATAATACCAAGCCTGACCAAAACAGCAGTGGAAATCAATTGTAGCTTCCAGCCCTTCTAGGCATTGCACCTTGATCCAGATYAGCCATGTCTTCTCCTTGATATTCCACAGTTCCCTTTAGCAATAACCAAATAMAGTTTGTCCCTACAAAGCACTCACTTGTAAAAGCTCTGTTTCWATTAGCATGGTGCAACATGAGCTTTTAACCTGGGAGTTAAAAGCTCCACAAAATCCACTTCTCCATTTGCTGACTTGGGGCTAGAAATACAGATTCTGATGCCTTCAATATTTAGTTTCCACAAACCTACATCTGAACAGACATAATGACTGTTTTAAGGCTCTCATTTGAGCCTTCAAGTACTTCAGGTTGGTTTTCTCCAGTTAGTGAGTAGAAAATTCATCAGTTTTTTCATACACTTCAAGGTGGCCCAGCAGCCTCGCAGAGGACCTCAGTGTGGGACACTGGCTTGGCATAAAGAAGGTTTCCCTTTCACTCAGTTCATTGACTTATTAGCCTCCCTGCAAGCACCTTGGAAAGTATTAAGATTGAAAAGGAAAACACCAAAGGGACAGGTCATGAGTGACTGGATTTCAATTCCCCACTGTTGTCAGTGGAGTGGGCAGCAGGTGTTTTTCAATATGGTTTCATTACTAGAATATTTACTTTATTTTCATTATCAGTTTTTAGCAGCCTGCCCTTTAAGCCTGTTAAGTGTAATGTTGATTTCAGGCTTAATTCTCTGAAACATGCTCAGGCGAAAGGTTTATTGGTTTTCAAAAGGACTGTGAATTTCCATGGCAYAATTCACAGGAAGAAGCCAGTCAGAACATGTTCCTGGTCTGTTTATACTGCAAGGTTTATGCTGGCACAGCACTGTTTCGTGGCTAAACCAGCCAAATCCTCTGCAGTTTTATCAGCCATATGGAATGAAAAAGCTAAAGCCGGTTTCTGGAGCCAGCTCTTATTACATATATAWAAATATATATCTTACTTATGTTGATATAACTACACCTATTCTAGGATCAAGTTAYGAACTGACTTCCACAATCCTGTATTAGAGCTTTCAGTATATCTTCCCCTAGTCATTACAGAAATTATTTTGGTTTGCCYTCTAAATTATTTACCTTAGACTGCAGAAGAAAGACCCAGACAGTTAAACTGAAACTGTAATAGAAACTTCCTGTACCCCTTGAAAATATTTTGGAACATGAAGAAAATCTTTCAGGGTTGTCATATGATCCTATACATCATATACTCAGTGCTTGAAGTGGGATGGTATTTTTAAGATGRGGATACTGTCACTTCAGTGGAAGGAACTTTGTCATTCCCACAAGGCACTCCTAGGTGACTCCTGACAGGGGAGCCTGCATTAGGAGTCAGTATCACCCCCACAGCAAGATCACAGCATCAACGGAGGGTGTGGCAGGTGTTAAAACATYTGATACTCTGAGAAGCATGCCACCCATGAAAGCAATTAGAAAATGTACACATTGTAATTCTATAAAAACATTAAAAATTGAAATTTAAAAAAAAAAAAAGTGAAAAGTGTTTTACTGCAGTGCTGTATTTTGAAAGAATCCTGAATTTCTTTGCTGTTCGATTGAAAAATTGTACACAAAACCACTGCATCACTTACAATTCTTTGAAACATGACACAGTGTTTCTACCTATTTTACTATTTCATCGCTCACCTAATAATCAAAAATGAGACACAAACACAATGCATAAAAA